TCCCTTCCCTCCCATCTCTGCAGGTTACTATCCTGGGCTGTCTTGCAGCCATCCCGGTTTTTTTTCTGGTGCCCAGTCACCTCCCAACTTGCTGAGAGCATGACTTGGGACTCCTCTTCACTCTGAATGTGTCACTTTCTATCCAGACCACAGGCATTTCTCTGGAATGATAGCAGTAGCCCCCATTCTGGCCTTCTCTAGCCCTGCAATACCTGCTGCCATTTCTTTCATACCACTTGTGTTCTCTTGCCCAGGTGTATCTCCTGGTCCATCTCCTTTGTAAGATTCTAAGCTTCCAGGGGGCCAGGGTTGTGACTTGTCCACCTTGGTATAACATGGGCCTAGCACGTGAACAGTTATATATGTGTGACATGAATGAATGAATGATTACATTTTGATCATCAAGGGGTAATGGCATAGGACGGGAGAATTCATTCCACAGTCTCACTCTTTTAGCCAAGACCTTCCCTCCCTGACAGGATCACACACATGGGTGTAGGACCCAGGGCCTGAAGTATGAGAACCACCCAGTAAGGATTCAAGGAGGTAAAAGGAGGCAAGACTTGGCCAGCATCTGGGCCTAAGATAAGAGAGGTAAGAGGGCTTGGCTTCCCCCTCAGGCAGGAAAGGCCCCACGGGCAGGTGAGTTTTGGAGTAGGGACAAGAATGGGTAAAAGGACCGTGGAATGAGGAAAGAGAAGCTGTGTGGGCTTGGCAAGTGTATTAGTCAGGGTTTTCCAGAGAAACAGAACCAATAGGAGACACACACACACACACACACACACTGGGGGTGCCAAAAAATGTATACACATTTTAAGAGATGTTATCTAGGGCCGGCCAAGTGGTGTGTTGGTTAGGAGTTGGCTTGGGAAGCCAGCTGTGAGCAGCAGGGCCCCGGTTCGGATCCTACATATGAGGGCCGGTGACACTGCACCCTCTACAGCTAACATGGTGAACAACAGCTCAACCTGCGTGAGTCGCTGGTGACGGTGTAGGCTGCAGTGGGGCTGGCTAGCAGCGTGCGTGAGCTGCTGTGAGCTGCCATGAGCCGCCACGAGTGACTGCCTCACTCGGGAAGAGCGCAATGATAATACCAACATGGGCCAGTGAAGCGACGTCCTCAACTAGACTGAAGAACAAAAGGACAACAACTTGTCTGTTCCCCTCCCCCAATTCCCCAATAAAATCTTTAAAAAAAAAGAGATGTTATCTATGCTCAAGCAGTAGTTCGCCATAATCATAAGTGTCTGGATGCTTATGGTAACCACTTTGATCACCTCTTATAATTACATTAGTCAAACGTGACTTGTATTCATCTTTTGCTATTGGTATATATTGAATATTACAATTAATACAGTTTTTTCCTTTCTTAAAATGTGCATACATTTTTCTGGCACCCTCTGTGTATGTGTGTGTGTGTGTATGTGTATATATATATATATATATATATATATATATATCTGATAGTATAGTTCCACATGCCAACAGCCTATTTCAGTTCAAGTATGAAGGCAGGAAAAAAAACAACATCCCAACAGGAAAGCAGTCAGGTAGGAATTCTTACTCGTGGGAGGGTCATCCCTTTTGTTCTATTTAGGATGACTGCATGAGGCCCATCCTCCTTAGGGAGGGCAATCTGCTGTACTCAGTCTACGGGATTCAGATCTTAACCTCACTCAGAAACACCCTCACAGACACACCCAGAATAATGTTTGACCAAATGTCTGGATATTCTGTGGCACAGTCAAGTTGACATAAAATTAGCCATTAAAGCAAGTCGCTACATATTTTTCAGACTCAGTTTCATTATGTGTAAATTGTGGGGCGGGGGTGGGTGGGGGGCGGGTATTGTATGTACCTTCAAAGGTATTTGGAGAAATCAACACAATAGTGCATCTGAAGTGCTGGCATGGTGGCCTAGTAAGGCTCAATGATTGGTAGTAGCAATGATGATGGTGTCTGCGATGCGGGCCAAGCAAGTAGCCCCCTTCCCCACCCCACTGGACAACTTTTAAATCTCCTCTTCCCTAGTTTCTTAGCCCCTGGCTTTGATTATTCTTTTAATCAGTTTCTGAAACCTAGACTAAAGGCTGCCCCTAGACTGAATCACAGAATATCTCTCACCCACCCCAGTTTTAGATAACTACTTAAAACCTGTGACTTCCCAACATTCCCCAAGTCATTCTGGACATAACTCTTGGATAATCCCATCCCAGAGTCTAAATAGGTTTTAACATTTCCCCAGGCCAGTATACTTGTTGATTGTAAACATTAAAGCCTAATGTTCTTTCCAAACCAATAGCCACCCTACACTAATAGCTTTGAGCTCTGCTCTTTAAGAAATTTATTAAAATCTATTTTTCCTCACTTGGGTATACAGAGGGTACCCCAGCAAGATGGCCAGTCCCAACCAAAGAAGCCAACACAGTCTTCCAGGTAGATCTCAAGACCCCTTCTTCTCAACTGAGATCAGATAGGGTGAGAGTTCCGTGAATCTCCCAAATAGGCAGGGACAGCTCTATGCCCCTGCCCAGCAGGAAGCAGATACAGAAGAAAAGACCTCCTGTCCCTCAGCTTCTCATCGAGATTTTATGGGGATCACGTCTCTCAAGGGAAATCAAGGCAGGCAGTTAGAGGCAGGCTTTGGGTCTCTGCATTCCTGCATGTCCCACAGAATGCACAGCCCAAAAGACCTCCCTTCTCCACGCAAAACTTCTCTTTTCTTCTAATAAACTCCTTTTCTAAAGAGATGAGATCAATCAGGTGGTCCCACACCCAGAGAGGAACAGCCCATTCTAGAGGAAAAAGGGATAAAATCTCCAAATCCTCCAGTCAACGCCTTTTGAGCTTCCTTTGCTTGGCCTGCTCCAAACTCTTTGGAGTATACTTTCTTTTCTAATAATGGCCCTTGAGTCATTCTCTACTGCTCAGGCCCACTTCTGACTTCTCTGAAATGTATTTTTACTTCTAATAAACTCCTTTTCTGCAACTTTACCTCTCTGGTTCATGTCTCCATTCTTTGGTTCCACGAGACCACGACCCCAGCACAAGAAATATCCTACATCATTTGGATAGTGGCAGCAAGGGGCTCTGGGAGTGTGTCAGAGGGTAGAGAGAGGTCAGTCACTCTTACTCACTGCAGTCTCTGGGAGTTAGGCTCTGGTTTCCTGCCCCTGAAGTTCTAACCTCCCAGGATTCCCCTTCCTTTGGCTCCTCACAGACCCTCCTCTCTTAATATTTTATCCTGATTCCCTCCAGGTTAAGTTCAGGCTGCAGAAGAGGTTGCCGGTCTGTAAGGCAGGCAGCTTTCGCTTTCACCAGGCTCTGGAGGTTCTCTAAGGCTGCCTGGGGAGAGGTATCTGCACCCGGAACAGAGACAAATTAGAGACCAAGGCTGCACAAAGGTGGAACTATAGGGAGGAAGGAAGGGGATAGGGAACAGATGGGGTGGGGAGGTTCAGCCAAAAGGGGAGGTTGGGTAGGGGGTTTGGGAGAACTGGGTGGGATAGGGGACGTCTAAGGGGTGGGTAGATGACAGTGGTGTGCTGGAGCCAGCTGGTACTGGTACTCTAGAGCCAACAGTAGCTCTGATGATCAAAATGTAATCCTTCATTCACTCTGGACTCTGCGTTCAGTGATGTCCTGTAGGTTGAAATTGGCCATTGCAGAAAATGGGCAAACACTACTAATTAAGACATTTCCCCACAGAAAGCAGGTGTTGAGGGTGGTGTACTGGAGCATGGTAGTGCACAGGAGGGTCAGGGTAGAGAAACCAGAAAGAGAACTTCTATAGTAGTAAGGAATCCTGCATTTGAACTCCATGCTCCGCCATTTACTGAGTGACCTTGGGCAAGTTACTTAACCTTTCCTAGCATCAATTTCTTTATCTACCTCATAAGATTAAATTAATTTAACATATAAACCTTAAAATCATGCCCTTTCTATTCCGTTTAATAAATGTTACGTATTATTATTTTGGGAAAGAGAGTGTATGTAGGAAAATGAGCATCTTACTCCCCAAGCAAATAACTCAGGTCTGCCTCCTGTTGGGGTGGGGGGGTGTGCCAGGTTCTGTGGGCATTAAGAGAGCAAGTGACAAATCCCCCCCTCACCGTCTGCCCAGGTTTACAATCTAATACATGGAGTACCAAACATGCTCCCCGGAAGTTACACAGCAGTAAAAATGCACTCATATTCGTATAACACTTTACAGTCCACAAAGGTTTTTTCCTATGGTTTATCTCTTGTGATCCTCACAAGAGTCCCTGTTTAGAGGAGGAAATCAGAAAGGATGAGTGATGTCAAGAGGCACACACAGAGGCAATGGCAGAATTACAAGCCTTCCAAGAACTGTCAGCGGATTGGTCAAGGGAGAGCACCAAGTAGTGCTTCTGTATGAAGATAATAACAGAGTAAGGTTAAGTCCCTTTCTACAGGACCTTCGTGGGGCCAGGGATCCTGTCTATTATGCAATAAACAAGCTAAAGTATTGCCATCCACTCAGCATCTTGCAGTACAACGGCCTGGGCTCATCTCCAGGGCACTTCTCCATGGGTCATGCCCCCCTATCTTGGGGGATCGGTGCCCCTTCTGGGCCTCTGAACCTGGAGTCCGAGGCTCCGCCCTAGGGGCTGGCTCGCCGCGGATGACTCCTCTCAGCTTAGGGGAGGCAGCACAGAGCTCATCGGCCTCTCCTTCCCTCTCATCTCTATGGCGGAAGTGAGTTGTTCCAGCTGAAACACAACAACATTCTCGGTGGTGGAAGTGAATGGACTCGTCCAAATGAGGGGGATACTCCTCACCATCGAATTTTAAAATCCGAGAGATAATCAAGAACAAGGTAGCATACAAATTACAGAGAAGTTCCATAGCTATATTTGTCTGTTCACGTGAATGTACAATGGCCTGGGTAGCTGCACTGGCGTCAAGGCTCGGCCAGCTGTGCTCGCCCCCGCCGGTGGTCGCTGGGGCAGGTGGAGCCGTCCGGCTCTCAGGGGCGGGACACGGACTTCCGGGGCCGGCATTGTATCCTGCCCTGGTGGTCGGCCGTGGGCAGCGTGGTTGGTGGGTCCCGGACTCGGGCTTAAGAAGGTAGGGGAACGTTCTAACTGCCTGGTCCCTTCTCGTGGGCAAGTGCGGGCGCTCTCTGAACTGGCGGGAGGGAGGGAGGGCGCGCCTCGAACTTCCGAGCCCGGCCAGGCGGGGCATGGGGCGCGACTCCGAGACCTCTGCGGAGTCACCTTCTCCCCTGGTCTCCGGACTGTGGAGGTTCTCGGAGAGAGGCTGTGGGAAAAGTGTGACCCGGGCTGGAAGTCTTTCCTGCATGCCGCCTGAGTCTCATGATGCTGAGCTGAATGTTTTCTATTTTTGCTCTTAGTCCATCTCTTGAACTCGATCGCCTGCGCGGAGCTTGGGGAGGACCTGCAGAAATCGTCCCTGGACGTGAGGAGGAGGAAGATGATCGGAGCCTGAGCGACCCGCTTTCAGCCTCTACCCGTAAGGTGGGGATGTGGGTGCTGTGGGCTCCAGTCTGGTTCTGAGAAGGCATCTGTCAATCTCTGCCCCTGTGCTCTGCAGACCTGGGCTTTGGGGGCAGAGGGATGAGACTTCCCAGGCCCAGCTCTGGAGAACTCCCTGCTCGCCGGAGGTGGGGGTGAGAGTGAGGGGACAAGACAGACTTATCACCGACCAAAGGTGGCTGCTGTGGGAAGGAGGCAGGAGTTGGTCAGCATTGATTTCGTGGAGGAGTGGAGCCTAGAATAGCGCTGAGAACGAGGGCAGAGCCTGGCCTTGGGGCAGAAGTGAAGAGATGTAACACCTGTTTGGAAGTTTGTAGGGGACTCCAGAGGGGGGGAGTTGTGGAAGAAAGGGGAGCTGGAGCAGAGCTGGAAGTCTCTAGATGGGAAACTGCTGGATGGAGTTAAAACTAGAGGGCAGAAATGAGCAAGAGCGCTCTGCTCATCCTTGATCTAAGAGCATTGGAGAAACCAATCCAGGAACCCTTGGAAGGACCTGGAATTCCTGGGTCAGGATTAATTGAGCGGTAATTGTACTAGGTTCCAGGTATTGTTTCCGGTGATGAATAGAATACTGTCTCTGTCATTAAGGAACTGTCTGCCTAGTGAAAGAAGTAAGACAAGCTAATAGCTGTGAAAAAATAAGTGCTAGCACAGGTGGACCCGGGCTGATTGCCTAGTGAGGGGCAGAGCCAGCTTCATTTCTGACTTATGCCCCGTGTGTTCAGTGGTGAGCACCACTGTTGAAGGGGAATAGAGACAAACTGAAATAAACTTAGAAGACAGCTGTAAGGATGCAGTGTGATTTTGTTTACATGTGGAATCTAAAGAACAAAATAAAAACAACAAAGAAATGCTGTCAGGACACTGAGGGGATAAGATATGTTGAGCTGATATGTTTATGGTGGCTGGAGACCTTTAATCTGTAGAAGGGGTGAGGGAGTGATGGAAGAGTTGCCTCTAAATATCTGAAAGGCTTGTTTGTACAAAGGGGGGCCGGGGAGGATGATATTTATTGTGCAGCTCCTGATACCAAAACTAAGGCTAGTGGTTCGAAGCACTAAGACAGATTCTTTCAGTAGCAGGAATACCTGAATAGAGCTGTCTAAAGTTGGATTGGCCTGCCATGAGAGGTAGTGAATTCCCCATCAGGGGAGGTTTATAAGCTGAACACTCTTAGTCAAGAAACTTGACTGTTCTCTCTCTCTCTCTCTGGGCTCATGTTCAGTTACTTAATAAACTCTCGTTCTCAAGTTTGTTCTTTTCTTTCTACTCTCTCCACCAGTGCAGCTGTGTAGCCTTGCGTCATCTCTCAGCAATAACAATGTAATAATTACGGTAGCTAATACTGTTTACTACTTGCCTGGCACTGCTTTAAGTGCTTTAGAGATGCTAACTCATCCAGTCCTCCAGACAACCCTTTTAAGGTAGCTATTGTTAATATCCCCTTTTTATAGATTGGGGCAACTGAGGCACATGGGAGGTAAGCAGCTTGCCCAAGAACACACAGTGAGCAATTGGCAGAGCTGGGGTTCCAACCCATGCCTGGCTTTAGCGTCACTGTTCTTAACCACTATTCTATGTTTTACATGTGTTGTTTTATTTAACCCTCACAACAATTCAAATTTGCAGATGAGAAAACAAGACTCTGAGAGGTTGTGTGAGTTGCTTAAGGGCACAGAGCAAGATATGGGAGAGCTAGGATTCAAACCCAGAACTGCTGGACATGAAAACCCCCACACTGCATTTCACTGCCCCCATATCCACTGAGCTGCCTCTGTAACTGCCACTATTGTAGTGGCCTCTAACTGGACTCCTTGCCCAGCGTTTCTGTCTTAAATTGGCAAGTTTTTACCCCAGAGTCTGTGGATGGCCCTGGAAATATGTGAGATTTTGTATGTGTGTGCATGGTCAGTCAGGTTTTAAAGCCCTTAGCTTTCATTAAAACTTCTTAGCTTTCATTGACTTCTCAGAGCAGATTGTGACCCCAAAATAGTGGAGAGCCATTCTTTGCCCATCAGCCATGAGTTACCTTTCTGATGCACAGATTTGCTCTTGGCACAGTGATGCATTGACCCTTCACTGCCCTCAGGACAGAGTCCAAATGCCTTAACCTGGTCATTCAAGGTCCCAGGAGATCAGACTCCAATCTTCCATTTCTTACTGCTACCTTATAGTCTCGCCAGTGTGGTAATGTTTATCTGTCTGTCTCCGCTCCATCCTGGCAGCTTCTCAAGGGCAGGGGCCATGCTTGTCTTTGAATGGCCAGTGCCTGACAGGTGTTGCACAGTGAGCATGTGCTATAAACTGCCCTGAATACCATAATGGAATTCAAGCCTTGGCCGGTTGTTTGGCCTGGTAACTTTGAAGCTGTCCCCCTTACTAATCCCAGAAGTCTAAGATTTCTGATAGTATGTGCTGCCGAAATGTAGAGAAGGGCTATGGAGGCAGGGACTGGGCTAGGCCTGGAAGGAAGTGAACAGGTAACAAGCAGGTCATTCAGAAGGTGTCAGCATTCTGACCTGACTCTTGCAGGGCAGCCCCTGGGTGGGGTGAAGCGCCCCTGTCTCTATCCTGTTTGCTACCCCTGTGTGGGCCACTGACTGCAGGATGAACTGTCGCTCCGAGGTGCTGGAGGTGTCGGTGGAGGGGCGGCAGGTGGAGGAGGCCATGCTGGCCATCCTGCACACGGTGCTTCTGCACCGAAGCACGGGCAAGTTCCACTACAAGAAGGAGGGCACCTACTCCATTGGCACCGTGGGCACCCAGGATGTTGACTGTGACTTCATCGACTTCACCTACGTGCGTGTCTCCTCTGAGGAGCTGGACCGTGCCCTACGCAAGGTTGTTGGAGAATTCAAGGTAGGGTGTGGCACAGTGGGTGGCAAGCGGACCTCAGATGCCCCTCCACCCCAGCTTGCTGTTGGATCATCTTCCCTTTCCTGGGTGTGTGTGTTGGGTTCTTTCAGGCTCTAAGGAACAGGCATGTTCAGAGCCCCTCTGGGGCTTGTGTTTGTGGGGGGTGGTCGAGCAGAGGGGGCTCGTATAAATGCCAAGGAAGCAGAGGCGGAAGCCCTCAGCACTGCAGCCAGGTCCCCTAGGGTGGTCATTGCCCTGTGGTCTTGACTTCTCTCTGACTCCACAGCTCTCTCTACTGATAACTCACTGCTTCTGCTTCCATGCTGGCTTTCACCAACCTGGGCCTTTCCTATACAAAACTCCTGAGAGGGAGGGTTGCTGGGCTTAGGTGGTTGCCATCCAACTGGAGCACCCCTTTGGGCAGTGTGGCATGTGTTTGTGTGTGCCTGGGCAGGCAGCGAGGAAGGGAGGACACACCAGATGGCTAATGTGGGTAACCTCAGAAGGTGGGAACGGGGGTGTGTGATTTTAAGTTTTGTCTTTATTCAGGGTTGCAGTTTTTCACTATTTCAACAAGTGGGTATTTAAAAATTGTAACAAGGGAAGTTGTTTTTGTTTTTTTTTTAATTGGGGAATTGGGGGAGGGGAACAGCATTGGGGAATTGGGGGAAGGGGAACAGACAAGTTGCTGTCGTTTTGTTCTTCAGTCTAGTTATGGAAGATGTTGCTTCACTGGCCCATTTTGGTATTGTGATAATTGTGCTCTTCCCGGGTGAGGCAGATAGGTCTTCAGCCACTGGACGGCCACTCACGGCGGCTCTTGGCAGCTCATGCTGGCTGCCAGCCACTCACGGTAGCTTTACGGCAGCCTACTGCAGCTCCACTGCAGCCTACACCTTTGCCGGCGACTCACGGCAGCCCAGCTCCAGGTCGAGCTGTTGTTCACCATCCTGGCTGTAGAGGGCGCAGCGTCACTGGCCCATGTGGGATCCGAACCGGGGCCCTGCTGCTCAGAGCTGGCATCCCAAGCCAACTCTTAACCAATGCGCCACTCGGCCAGCCTGGGAGTTTTTTTTTAAAGGTACCATCTCGGGGGTCAGAGGAGGAGGGTTTTCTGTTGGACTTCTATTCCACAAATGTTTGGAGAGTCCCTGTGCTGTGCCTGGCACTGTATGGACCCTCTCCCAGGCCACAGCTTTCCCCTCCCCAGTCCCTCTGAGCCCAGAAAGGGCAAGTTTGTAAGAGGTTCGCTGTCCCGCTTCACGGAGGCAGCGGTACCCAGCACATAGAGCACAGTGGTTAAGAACATGGACTCTGGAGCCAGGCTCTCAACTCCTCTGGGCCTCAGTTTCCCTGTTTATAAAATTGGAATGATAATCATACCTACCTCAAAGGTGTGTGCACTGTGAGGAGTAAATGAGTCAAATGTGTCAAGTGCTTGGAACAGCCTGGCACCCAGGAAACATTATAGAAGTGTTAGCCATTATTGCTATCGGCCAAGGTCATGTGACCTTGGTTTGTCCATGAAGGAGAGACTTATTTATTCCCTGACGAGCGGTTCAGGACTTCAGGGAAGCATTCTTACCCTCTGGGTTCGTGCTGTCTAACTCAAATGGAAAGCTGCTTCAGGGTCCCGGCTGCCCTAGGAGGAGGAGTGTGGGGCCATCACATGCCATGGGGGTGGGGGGAGGCATGGATTAGGCAGTCCCATTTGCTTCTCAGAGGAGAAGCAGCCAGGTCTGGTTTGTCCTTCCCTCTTCTGTTCCATGACTTCCTTCTTTCTAATCCAGAATCCAAAGATCGGGCTGGCCGAGTGGCGCGTTGGTTAAGAGCTGGCTTGGGATGCCAGAGGGCCCCAGTTGGGATCCCACATATGAGGGCCAGTGACACTGCCCTCTACAGCTAAGATGCTGAACAACAGCTCAACCTGGAGCTGGGCTGCTATGAGTCGCCGGTGACGGTGTAGGCTGCAGCCCCTGCTGCAGTGGGTTGCCATGGGCTACCGTGTGTAGCCAGCAGCCAGCGTGAGCGGCCGTCCAGAAGCCAGCGACTGATCTGCCTCGCCCGGGAAGAGCGCAACGATGGTGCCAACTTGGGCCAGTGAAGCAACGTCCTCCACAACTAGACTGAAGAAAAAAAGGACAGCAACTTGTCTGTTCCCCTTTGCCCAATTCCCCGGTGCTGTTCCCATCCCCCAATTTAAAAAAAAAAAAAAGAATCCAAGGATCACTGGGCTTTATAGTCCCCCTTTTCTTTAGAGACTGTGTGAGTTCAGGTTGTCATTGAGTGAATGAGAGAAAAAGATTGTGCTTAATTTGCAGTGAGGAAGGCTAATAGGGTTTACCTGGGGAGAAGGAGATGTAGGAGAACGTTTTGAAGGACGGGGACCCACGCACCCAACCAGCCAAACCCAGGAAAGGGGTGGAGTTGTGGAAGGAGAAGGAAGACACTTCATGTAAAGGTGAAAAGCAAGGATTTTGAAATCAGACAATTTGGATTCAAACCTTGGAGCAGCCGTTCACTGACCTGTGACTTTTGGCAAGATAGCTTTGACTCTGAGCCTCAATAATAATATTCCTGCCTTTCAGAGTTGTTGAGAGGAATGAGTGTGTGTAATATGCCTGGCCCAGAACAAGTACTTAAAAAACATTAATTCTGAACAAAGCTGGAGAAGTTGGACGAGGAGACAGATTTTGTTGTTTTGCTTGAACCACTCAGTTTTAGGCAGGCAGTTTGCTGTGTCACATCACCCATATCCTTTTACCCTCTCTGGGTCTCATCCTGTGCCCTCCCTGAAGGATTAATTTGAGTGAGGAGAGTGTAATTTCCTGGGGCATAGGAAGCAGGTGCTCACAGGGTGAGGACTGTCTTGGCCTGCTCATCTGTTACGCCTTCTTTCCCAGGATGCACTGCGCACCTCTGGTGGCGATGGGCTGGGGCAGATGTCCTTGGAGTTCTACCAGAAGAAGAAGTCTCGCTGGCCTTTTTCAGATGAGTGCATCCCCTGGGAAGTGTGGACAGTCAAAGTGCATGTGGTAGCCCTGGCCACAGAGCAGGAGCGGCAGATCTGCCGAGAGAAGGTGGGTGAGAAGCTCTGTGAGAAGATCATCAACATTGTGGAGGTGATGAACCGGCATGAGTACCTGCCGAAGATGCCCACACAGTCAGAGGTGGACAACGTGTTTGACACAGGCTTGCGGGACGTGCAGCCCTACCTCTACAAGATCTCCTTCCAAATCACTGACGCCCTGGGCACCTCGGTCACAACCACCATGCGCAGGCTCATCAAAGACACGCTGGCCCTCTAGGCCTTGCTGTGGCATTGGGTGCTCCTTGGTGGCTCGCAGACCTTGGCTTTCGGGGATTGTACTTTTAGGCCCTTGGGGCTCTGGAACCTGCTCCAGGTCCTTGATGAGACTTGGAAGGGCCATCCCCTGACTTCCTTGATGTGTGGTTGCCAGTCTAGTCATTCTCGTAACCGTCACTGACGGTCAAGTCTGGCCTACATGATCTTACCACACCCCTGGTGGGGTCCCCCTTCTCCACTGTACAGAAGTGCCATCGCTAGGATGGTGAATAAAGTTAAGAATGTTAGTTTGGGTTGAGCCATCTCTTCGTTGCCTTGTGTCCTGCCCTGAAACAACACTCTGACTGACCAGTGAGGACACAGGTGTGCATTGAGGGCATTATTCCAAGGTGAGGGGAGTGGGCGGAGGGGATTAAAGATAGATTAAAGCTGACCAATATTGAACTACGTGTGACATTCACATATAGCTGGTGTTACCCACCCAGGTGTGACCATGGTCAGTCCCTTGAATGAGGACACAGGTCACGTTTTTAGATATAATTGTGCTGTTTGTCCTCTCTTCCTAAGTAAGTTGTTACTTCCCTGGTGGCCTTTATATTATGTAGTCTTGCTTTATGATGACCCCAAAGAATACTTTTGTCTTCATAGAGCACACACAAGTCGCCATGTGCACCAGAAAATTCATTTGATTTGGGGTTTCTCTCTCTCAAAAGAGATTGGCCTGCTTGAGACTGGTGTCTGGTGACGCTTCTAGGTTGGACTGGCCCTCGCTGATTGTTAGTACATTGCTTTGGTAACTCACACATTTTTACACAAGCATACTTAAAATCGAACTCTACTATGCACTTTTCATTGATCCCCCCCCCCTCTGTATTTTACAATACTTTTTGGTTATATCCTGGGCCGGTTCTCAAAGGCTAGAGGAACTGTGTGTAGGGAGGGGTGCTAAGGGAGAAATGGTTTGGGGGTGAGGGGTTGGGGAGGGGTCTTGCCCATGGTCCTGGAACAGGTAGGTAGCCAGGATGACCAGGAAGTGTCTGCACATTTTTCTCATTCCAAGCCACCTTTGGCCATGTGATGTTTCATGAAAGGTTTTGTGATGTCCTGCCCTGGATCTCTGGGGAATTGGAGAACTCAGGTTCTCGGGGGTTTGGAGATGGGAAAGGCCCATTCCCAGCAAGTCCTTGATGATGTGTGACCCCTACCTGGCCTCCTGCGGTCTGGGGGGACCTTTTTTTTTCTCTTTGCTGGCCTCAGCTAATCCTTTCTGAGGGGGGTTGGCTGATACAAGCGTTTGCTAGCAGTGACTGTTTTAAAGAGAGCTCCAGGAGTTTTTAGGAGACCTGGGCAGGAAGGCCTTCCCTCCATCTCAGCTTCCCCAAGCTTTCTCCTTTCCTGCTCCACTCTCCCACCTTGGCTTGGCCATGGCTCCCAGCTGGTAGTGAGCTCTGTAGTGGACAGGACAGTAACATCTGCATCCCTTTTGGAATTTTGATTTCCTAGAGGCGGTGGACTGATGTACTCAAGATCAGAACTGGAGTCCTGGGGACTCAAACCTGTGCTTCCCCGTTGGTCTGTAGCTCTCCTTGACTTCTGGGGCCTGAGCAAAGGAATAGGGGTAGGCCTTGAAGCCTCTCTCCCTCCTCTCCCTGGGGTGCGGCCCAGGAGGCACTGGCCTGCTTGTCCAGCCCCAGGAGGCTCCCGAAGGGGATGGTGGGTAAGGAAGTAGATGCATCCCTCCGGTCTTAGGGGCTGCTCATTTGTCTCTCGTTCCAGTGGCCACCTGGGCCACCTAGCAGCACTGAGCTTCGGCCCAAGGGCAGAAGGCTCAGGAATGGCGATGGCGCTTGCTTGTCCTGGATCCTGCTTAGTCGGGGCAGCACCCTAACCAGCACCTGGGATGGGGCCTGGAAGATCTTCTCAGGTTCTAAGGGAGGTGCTCTCTCTTCACTTCCCTTGCCAGCGGGGAGGGAGATCCTTGGGGGACAGGAGTCCTGGGTTTGGCTGGTTGGGTGCCTGGGCTGGATTTGAGTGAGTGCTTGGGTGTGTGGGCCTTTGGGACAAGAAGACCGATGGCCCATAAGTCTGGGCCCTAGTTCACATTGGAGGAGCTTTTGGTCTGGGAAAGGCCTGAGCGCTTTGTGCAAGGGCTGGGGGTTTAAGGCGCCTGGGATCCGCCCCTCAGGTTCCTCCCTGACGCAGCCCCAGGCGGGGCTCCCGCACATCTGACGGTCCCGTGCACATTTGGGCACATCTGGTCAGCAGGCACCGTAGCATGAACGGCTCGCAGGCGGGCTCTGCGGCCCCTGCCGCCTGGCTGACCTGCTGCAACCAGTCGGGGGTGCAGCCAGAGCCCCCAGAGGGGCCGCGCGCTGTGCAGGCGGCGGTGCTGGGTGTGCTGTCGCTGCTCGTGCTCTGCGGAGTCCTGTTCCTGGGCGGTGGCCTCCTCCTCCGCGCCCAGGGCCTGACCGCGCTGCTGGCCCGCGAGCGGCGCGCATCGCGCGAGGCCGAACCCAGCGGCGCCAGCAGCGGCGACGAGGACTCCTAGGCGCCTGGCTGCGATCGAGGGGTGCGAAGTCCAAGAGGTCCTCGGACTCGTTGCCTGACGGCGAGGGAGCTGCCCCGGGTGCCATTGCAGCTAGGAGGAACACGCGCACGGGTGCTGCAGAGAGAAGACTGGGGCCCCTTTGTCGGGGCCCATGGGCCGCACAGGTGAGAGAGGGGCTGAAGGGGGGACAGTCACCTCTGTTTTGATGAGGGGTCACCTCTATACTGACAAGCGCAGCCACCGAATCAGCTCTCAGTGCCTCCCTCTGGTTTCCTGTGCTGGAACACCCGGTGGGCCTGCAGCTGCCCCAGGTGTGTGTGGGATCTGCGGGAAGAGGCTGCCCCTCCCTCTCCCACATCATCTCCTGCAATGCCTCCCCCAAGTTCTTTTTCTAGAATAGATGGTCGCCGTGTAACTGGGAGAGGGGGAGGCAGGGCAGAGGGAAGAGGGAGGAGGCTGGAGGGGCCACAGTGTACTTCGGAGCCTGCCTTCCCTGCAGCCATGCTGGCCCCCACTTTGTGCCAGCCCTACCTGGAACTAAGCACCGACTCGGTGGCGCCCCAGCACTGCCCCTTCCGCTGAGAGATTGAGGAGAGACACGGCAACAGAAACTCAGATCACCTCTGCCCTTGGCTTCTGTATCTTCCCCTCCCCTCCTTTTTGAAACTTGTCCTTTGAGGGGGTTTGAGTAAAATTCCTCACTGTGACCTCCCTCTTGAGGCAGGAATGGGAGTATGGGTCCTGTTTTAGGGCAGATCCGGGGGCCTGGATGACCCTGGGGGATAAGGAGATGTGCTGGGGCCCCCTCCCCCAGCCCCTGCTCAGGTTGGGGTGGACAGAGGTGGCCCAGAGCAAGGAGCTTTGTGGTATGCGTGTGTGTGTGTGTGTGTGTGTGTGTGTGTGTGTGTGTGTGTGTGTGTGTGTGTGTGTGTGTGTGTGTGTGTGTGTGTGTGTGTGTGTTGGGGGGGAGGTGGCAAGGTTGTCAGCAGCTGGGGGGCCTCAGGAGCAATTTCTCCAGTAAGCTGGGGCTGAGGATTCCCAGCTGTGGGGGCTCCATCTGGCTCTCTTGCCTCTGTCTCTCTAAGGACAGGAACCATCTGGAGGGAAGGGCCTGGGTGGCCTAAAGACAAGGTAATTCCAGGCCAAGGCCACCTTGGGCAGAGCCACAGTGTTGGGCAGAGAAGCCTTCACTGTCCCTCTCCTCTGTTCAGCGTTGTACCTAGGTGCTCCTGGCAGGTTTCTGTGGGTGGGGCTTGTCCATTGGGGTGCCTCTGACTTCTCTTGTTCCCCCCACACTGGAGCCCCTCTCCTGCTCGCCAAGGGCTGAGGCAGGGTTCCCTCTGAGAAGGGAGTCAATGCATGTGAGGAGGGGCTGGTGAGGGGCAAGGGGACAGTGTAGGCAGGGTGCTGCTAAGCAGCTGTGAAGCTGACGACGTGTGATCCCTGCATAGAGCAGCCCAGGATTTGTTGCTAATCCTGGCAGCCGTGCCACTCTGGCCTTGCTGAGCTGTGGACTTCTCACCTCAGGACGCCGCCCTCATCCCCTTGAGAGAGGGCTGGCTAGGGCAGTGAGGGGTGTGTGTGAGCTCTTGGCACATGGGCAGCAGGCTGTGCCCCGGGGAAAGACCCCCCACCGCCCTATGCTGTGTCCTGGGGGAAGGGGTGGGAACACCCTCTATTGTATCCAGGTTCATCTACCCTGGAGGAAGCCCATGTTTTCTGCTGCTTTTCTGCCCCTTCTCGCTGTGTTCTGTCCTCTGCTTCCCCGGCTGGGACGGAGGAGTCTCCGTGTCCACTGTGAACCTTCATTTTACAAATGGGGAAGAGTGGCGGGGAGAGTGATGCGTCCAAGTGGAGGACAGAGCTGGAACTGGGCTCCGCGGCTCCCGATTCTGAGCTTGGGCAGGCAGGATGGCATCCAAGTGAGAAGTCCCCTCTTGGGTTATCCCTCTTATTCTGTCCTCCCTCACTCCAATTTCCCCACCACTCTTTGAGAAGCTGATGCAAAATATGGCCTCTCCCCCACCCCCCAAAGAAATTGGAACCCCAAACCCCTGTTACTCCTTGTCCCCACTTCCCTGGTAGTCTTGTGAGATCCCTTCTTGCTGGGGACAGCTTTCCAGATGCTGCAGTAGCTCCCCAGATGGGCTCAGCTCTCCTAGTCTGAACCTGAGGGTGGGGGTGGGCTCAGAGGGTCAGCTGGAATAAACATCTATGAAAAAAATCTCAGTGGTCAGAGCAGAAGCATCAGAGGTAAGGGCGATGACTTTGGATTGGCCTTTGGGTTCAAGTCTGCGTGGTTTTAGGGGTATAGAGAGATTTGGTAGAGGGAAGGACTGTGCCCCAGCATCATCATGTCTGCGGACACCCAGGCAGGGCTGAGGCGGGGAGGAGGGCGGGGGTAGGCAAGCAAAGGCTTTCTTCATCCAACTTCCTGCCTTTACTGTCCCTTCAGCTCAGGGTTTGGAGAGCTGGGGTTTGTCATGAACTGGGGACCTCAATGTTCCTGGGGGAAGATACTGAGATGTTTGCTATGGAACTCTGACCTTGGTCAAGGCTGTCAGACTGAGTGGGAAGGAAAAGAATTTTAAAAATCGGGAAACGGGTGCTGCTGTCACCCCATTTCTCAGGCTCCAGCTGGGAGTGAGAGGCAGGGGAATGGGTGCAGCGCTAAGTGCCAAGGAGTGAGGCTGGGCATCTGGATTCCCAGCAAGCTTTGTCAGCCTGCACTGTCCTTGCGTGACAGGCTG